ATATAATATAATATAATATACCTTAATGGTACAACAATTTGTTGCTATTAACAAACGTATTCATATCATCAATTATTTTTTCAATATTAAATAGATGAAAGTAAGCTGATTTTGTAGTCATCTCCAAATTGAATTAAATCTGTGCATTTAGTTTCAAAGGTTTGTGACTCCACATTAAGCCATTCACAAAACATCTGATCAGGGCTACACTGCGGCAGGCAGACAGATTCCTGAAGGCCAATGCCAGTTTTTTTGAAGCAGCTGAAGCCCACCATAGAGGCTTACACAATGCTGAACAGGACCACAAAGTCTCATCTACAACCTGGATGATTTCAGGAGCTGCAGTGGTGTGGCTCTGTCCCAGCTCTTCCTGGAGAACAATCTGCAGGACACCTTCAGAGACTGTGACTCTGCTAAAGATTCTCATCACATCTCCTCTGACCACAGCTGAATCTGAGAGGAGCTTCAACACTGAAGAGAATCCAGACTTTCCTCAGGTACAACGTCACATCTCACTGCACTGACCATGCTGTATAGAGAAGAATCTGGTTAAAACATTCTGACTTTAACCAGAGTCATGAAGAAATTTGCTTCTCAGTAAAAGAAGGGCAAAATTTATGTACAAAAAATAAAACACTACATGACATTGTAATACCATTTTTTAATGCTTTTAAATTATTTCAGTTTATTTAATAAATACACTGATGTGAAACAACTTAGTGCATGTGTGATTGCTTTTTGAGATATGTCTATATTGGAGTTGTAGCCCCACCTGGAGAAAAATCCACCAGCCGCCACTGACTCTGTGTTATATTAATCAATTAATATTCAACCTAATTGTCATTTATTAACATAGGTGAGAAGCATTTGGTTCATGAGATATTTCGCRAACACTACAGAGAATGGATTTTAATCAAACTGTCAGAAAATAATAATAATCACTGGATGTGCATCTACAACTCTTTATCTTTTAGGGTCAACCCCATTCAAGATGGCTGCCACAGGTAAGTGACATTAGAAAATGCATAAATGCTAAAAGCTCCGTTTTAAAGATATTGAGAAATATTTTGCTTAAAACTTTGGAAATAAAGTTTGGGACCAGTCTTGTCCATCTCTTAGCAAAATATTGCATGAAACCACTGGATGGATTTTAATGAAATGCTCTGACCAACCATCGGCCRTGCATTTACAACTGATTCACTTATGGAGGCGCCACAATCCAAGATGGTCTCCACAGCCAATCAACTCTAGCCAACACAAAAATGGCAGCAACTCAGACAGTTTTACTGATAMTAAATTCAAATTTGATTTTGTATTAATTAATTGTTAGTTTCTAAGCATGAGCTCACACATACTGTTCTTTTCAAGGTTTGATCAAAATGGCCAAAAGCCATTTCTCAGCAAGAGAAGAGCCCTCTTGTGTGAAATCTCTTATCTTTATCTTAAAGGTCAAAGTTTATGCAATTTAACAATTAATATCAGCTTAGACGTAATTAAAGGAAATTCTGTTCGATTTTCATTCAACACAATAACACTATTCRGCTTCATCTCTATTATCCAAAATCTGAATCTGGAGTGATTTTTTTATTTTTATTTTTTTGCATCTATCTGTCCTCAGCAGCCCAGTTTGGACAGAAAACCATGCTAAACAGAGACTTCCCTCCTTTTCTTTTCATCTGCCATCTTCTCTCCCCAAGTCCCTCTTTACTTCCCTCCTTTTTCGCTCGCCTCCCTCGACTGCTGCAGCCTCGCTCCCCTCTTCTCGCACACCTCTGCGCCCCCACCCCATCCACCCCCCAGCTCCCGCTTATCTCCTCCCCCCAGAGTGAGGGATCAGAGCGGTGAGGGTCTAACCGAGAGAGTAATAAAAGGGTTGAAGCTGTGTGCCCGGCGGGGTGCGATCAGCACTGTCACCCCGAGGAGAGCGAAGAGATAACGCACACCTCCATCAAACGTCAATSAAATGCAGCTACACACAAACAACATGTATGCTTTCAGCATGAAAAGTATCTCTGGAGACATAGGAGGAGATCCTCACAGATTAAAAAAAAGAAGAGCACAAACATCAGCAGAAAGACAAACGTTTACCCCCGTTCAAGAATCTCAAATAGATGCTAGAACAAATTGTTTTGGGCCGTGACTGACAGTGCGAGTAGTGCTAACCAAGGTCTCGGCTTTGTTTAAAATGGCTGCACTTTTTTTGTGTGCTTTCCCTCTGAAGTGATGAGTTGGAGGCAGAAATGCAACCTACTCAGTTCTGAAAGTGTGGAACATTTGACCAGCATTTGTAGATGACACGGGGAAWTGTATTTACAAACAGCAATTTGTAGAATTGTTCTTGAGCCCATGCAGTGATGTCCACAATGCAATCAGATCCGTTTTAATRCAGTGCTGCCCAAAGGCCTGAAGATTATCTATATCAGGGGTTTCCCAACCCTTTTTGAACCAAGATTTACTTTTGAAGTTGCCAGTTTGCTGAGATCTCCTTGTCGAGTCTCAGTACACATTGTTACATTCCTAGTCCCAGGTAAACTGTGCATGAGTCAAGTTATGAGCTTTCTTCCCACTCCTCACTTTCACAAAGACCATTGCATCAAACACAATATAGCATGATAGCAGTTTCATTGACTTCAGTAAAAAGGCAGGACAAACATAACAGTCTACTTAAAACACCTAGACTTACCTCCCAAATAAAAATGAAGCAAAAAAGCTTTCCTAAACTGACTCCTCACAAGGAAACAGGAAGAAACTGGTTTTCAAACCAAAAGGTCTCTTTCCCTCCCTCCTACAATTAGTGTGCACTCTTTACAGAATGTGGCTTTAGGCGCAGATTCACATATCTCAAACAATTATTCCAAATACCAAACAAATCTAAATGACTTGAACCACAACTAGGCAGCTGACTCTTTGTGGATTTGAGTTGTTTGTTATGAATAGACACATCCCTGAATCATCCCTTAAATTTGTAAGGCATTTTTATAGCTGAGTGGCTCAACAAATAAACAAAAATATTCTTCTGTAAATGGTCAAGTACTAGAAAGAAAATGAGTGGGAAAACAGCTAAATTCCTAAAGAAAAAGACATTCAGAAAACTATCAACTATTATCRAGATCCCTTTCAAGTCTGACTGCTTGGAAGATAAATGTGACAGAGAAAAGATCACTTACGGTACTTTGTGTTTACTGTAAAGCCTGCGGTATAATTTCTGTGATTTTTAAATGGTTGGTGTTTGGCTGCTTGTTGACTCACCACTGTCTGGTGGTTGACTTGGATCACTTCATCTCCAGCATGGATCTTCTTACACTGATCTGCTGGAGACTGCACAGGCAGGAGGTGTAAGTCGGGAAGAAGAGATAACAGGAGAAAAAAAAAAGATAAAACCATGGCAATGCATCCACTGCCTACCAGGAATATGAAAATGTAAACTGTTTTTCCTCTGAGTGAAAGAAACAACGTACATTCTCTGTGGTTCCTGTGATAACATGAAGTCCATCATAGGTAGATTTGATATACATCCCCTGAAACACAAACACACAGCAACAGAGTGCACAAAGTTTTAAAAAAGACACAATTCAAATAAATGACGTCGGGGTATTGTAGATTAAACTTTTGTCATTCTTATTGGCCTTTTTTCCTTTATGTGTCACTTCTCCATAGTTCTTTTGAAGAGGGGTTCTGTAGAAACCAGGGCTGTGTATTGGCAAGAATTTGGCGATACGATACATATCATAACAGAGGGGTCATGATACGATATATCCTGATATATTGCGATAATGTAAGCAAGGCAATATATTGCGATATATTGCGATTTTTTTGTCCAAAAATTCTATTAAATAAAAACCTCTTACTGAAAAGAAAAGAACAGCTAATGTTTACTTACAATGCTAATGCTACCCTTACTCTCTGGC